TTCTCATAAAGTCACTAGCTTCCAATTGCTCTATTCTAATTTTTAAGAAAGTATTTTCTTCAGTAATCTTTTGGGCTTCCTTTTCCATTTGGCCAATTTTGCTCTTTAGGGCATTCTTCTCCTCATTGGCTTTTTGGACCTCTTTTGCCATTTGGGTTAGGCTATTTTTTAAGGTGTTATTTTCTTCAGTATTTTTTGGGGTCTCCTTTAGCAAGCTGTTAACTTGCTTTTCATGATTTTCTTGCATCACTCTCATTTCTCTTCCCAGTTTTTCCTCTCCTTCTCTTACTTGCTTCTCAAAATCCTTTTTGAGCTCCTCCAAGGCCTGGGACTGATTCATATTTTTCTTGGAAGTTTTGGATGTAGGAGCTTTGACTTTGTTTTCTTCTTCTGGTTGTATGTTTTGATCTTCTTTGTCACCAAAGTAAGATAATACAGTCTGACTCTTTTTGTGCTGCTTACTCATGATCCCGGCCAATTACTTGAGTTTTAAACTCTTTGTTAAGGTAAGAGTCTGTTTCCAATGTGGAGAATGCACCATCCCAAGCTTTGGGGGTTTGTACAGCTGTTTTCAAAGATACTTCTAGGGACCTGAAAGTTTTCAGTTCTTCCAAGGTGCTATGATAAGGGGTGAGGAATTTTCTCTCCACCACCACAACCAGCTCCACCACACTGGCGTTCCTCCTTGCCCCAGGACCGCCCCTCAGAACTGTGACCCAGATCTAAGCACAGGCAAAGCAAGAGATTCCTGCCTCAGCACTGGCAAAGAGATCCTTGCAATCCCCCTCTGATCAGCTAAGCGATTCCCTCTCAGTCTGTGGGCCGGAAGCTCAGGACATGGATGCTGCCCCTGGGGCATGCTCTGGACTTGAAGCTGAGACCTAGCTTCTTCTCTCACCCAGTCACAGACTTTTCCCACTGACCTTCTAAGTTGTCTTTGGCGTTGGTGGGTTGAGAAGTCTGGAAACCGCCACAGCTGCAGTCCTCTGAGGCCTGCTCCAGGGTTGCTGCGGCGCCCACACCGAACTGTGCTCCTCTCCCAGCCCAGCGCGATATACCTTTCCAATCAGCCATCCAGGTTGTCTTGGGCTGGAAATTTGTTTCACTCTGTTTTTTTGTGGGTTCTACTACTTTAGAATTTGTTTAGAGCCATTATTTGTAGGTATTTGGAGGAGTTTGGGGGAGAGCTCTAGCAAGTCATTGCTTTCCCTCCGCCATCTTGGCTCCGCCCCTTACCAGCAATCTTATTTAACCAAATGGTCATCCATCCTACCCTTGAAGAACTCCAATGAATAATCCACTTTGAATAGCCCTAATTGTTAGAGATTTTTTCCTTTTATCAACTCCCAATTATTCAGCAAGTACTCTTGGTTTTACCTTAGGAGACAAAGATAACAAGTATAGTCCCATTAAAATGTGACAGCCCTGGGCTGTCTTTTCTTCTTCCACTATACTATTTCACTTGTTGATCTCATCAGCTCCCAAGATTTCAATGATCTTTATGCTAATGGAATTTAGATCCACTTACTGATCCCTAACTTCTCTCCTTATCACCAGTTTTGATCTCTAACTGCCTATTGGTCATCTCACACTGAATTTCCAGTAGACATCTTAAACTGAAAACGTCCAAAACTCATTTCATTATCTTTCCCCAAAAACTCTTCCCCCCTCTAAAACTTCCCTATTACTGTCAAGAGCACCATCACTTTCCAACTCATCCAAGCTCTCAAGCTAAATATCATCCTCAACTTCTTACTCTTTCACCCCACATAGCCAGTCTGTTACCAAGTCCTGTTGATTCTGCTTTTACATTTCTCACATACTCCTCTTTCTCTTCTCCAACACTGCTATGCCCTTGGTGCAGGCCCACATCATCTGATACCCAGACTGTTGTAATAACTTACTGGTTAGTCTCCTACTCTTAATAAATGCTTATTAACTGACAAAAAGTGAAAAGCAGTGGAGAGGAAAATTAATCTGAGAAAATTTGCTGTGAAATTCAACTGTACTTCTCTCATCTCAGGAGCATTTATAGATGAAACTGAAAGTCATGTCAAATCAAGTCGATAAGCATTTATTAGGTGCCTACTGTGTGCTAAACACTGTACTGAACACTGAGGATCCAAAGAAAGGCAAAATTTTGCTGCTTTCAAGAAGTTCAGAGTCTAATTGGGGAAACTACATAAAAACTTCAATAAAGTGAAAATGATCAACAGAGGGAAGGCACTAATATTAAGGGAGATGATAAAAGGATTCTTGCAGAAAGTGGGATTTAGCTGGAACTTGAAGGAATCTGAGGAAGCCAGGAGCCAGATGAAGAGGGAGAGCATTCCAGGCATGAGGGCAAGACAGTGAAGATGCCTGGAGTCTGGAGATGAAGTGTCTTCTTCAAGGAACAGCAAGGAGCCCAATGTCACTAAAACACAAAGTACATGGGGGTGAGTGGAGTGTAAGATGACTGGAAAGGTAGGAAGGGGTCAGGTTATGAAGGGCTTTAAATTCAAAACAAAGGATTTCTTATTTGATCCTGGAGGTGATAGGGATCCACTGGAGTTTATTGAGTAGGAGAGTGGCATGATCAGCCCCGCACTTTAGGAAGATTAATTTGGCAGCTGAGTATAGGAGTGGGGAAAGAGTTGTGGTAGGGAGACCAACCAGCAGGCTATAGCAGTAGTTCGGGTACGAGATGATGGGGACCTGAAACAGTGGTGGTGGCAGTGTCAGAGAAGAGAGCATACTCAAGAGATGTTACAGAGGTAGAATTGACAGGGCATGGCTACAGATTTAGATATGGGGGTTGAGAGAGAGTGAAAAATCAAGGATAGCATCTAGTTTGGGAGACTGGGAGGATGTTGGTACCCTTGACAGTAATAGGAAATTTGAGAATAAGGGAGGGTTTGGCAGAAAAGATAATGAGTTCAGGTTTAGACAAATGAGTTTAAGATGTCTATGGGATATCCAATTCATGATGTCCAATAAACAGTTGGAAATGAGAGTCTAGAGGTCAATAAAGAAGTGAAGTCTCTGGAAATAGATCTGAGAATCATCAACATAGAGATGATAATCAAATCCATAGAAGCTAATGAGATCACCAAGTGAAATAATATAAAGGCAGAAGAGAAGCAGGCCCAAGACAAAGCCCTGGGGGACACCTATTTCTAGTGGGTGTGACCTGGATGAAGATCCAGCAAACAAAAATGAGAAGGAGCAGTCAGGTAAGAAGAAAACCAGAAGACAGTAGTGTCATGAAAGTCTAGAGAAGAGAATATCAAGGAAAAGAGGGTAATTATTAGTGTCAGAGGCTTCCAAGAAGACAAGGATAAATTGAGGAAAATACCATTAGTTTGGCAAAGTATCATTGGTAACTTTGAAGACAGTTATTTCAGCTGAATGATGAGATTAGAAGCTAGAATGCAGAGAGTTAAGGAGAAAATTAGAGGATAAGAAGTAGAGACATTGATTGTAGACAGCCTTCTCAAGGAGTTTGGCCACAAAATGAAGGAGAGATATGGGACAATAGCTCGTAGAGATAGCTAGGTCAAGGGATGGTTTAATACATGGGCATATCTGTAGACAGTAGGGAAGGAGCCAAGAGTTTCTGAGCTCAGAGAGCAGAGATAAGAGGACCCATAAGAGGCTTGTGGTAGGATGCAACATTTTGTGAAATCTGCTGTCGTGAGTAGGATAGTGAATCAATTAGGAGGAATAAAAAGCTTGCTTTGCTGTATTGAGGATCCAATTGAGATTATGTAACAAATTTGTGGTAAATCCAGCTAGTACAGTTTCATGAGTTTTTCTAGCTTCTGAAAGCAGCACGTGATTAGAAGCAAAGGCAGTGGATGATGGGAGTAATTCAGAGCTGAGGTTGACCAGACAAGAGCTTTGATAGGAAGAGGAGGCAAGGGGTATAAGAGAAGATAATAGTGTAGAGTTTAACTGATTTAACTAAGAGGTCAAAATGGGGAAGGAAATAGAGTGTAGAGAGTGCAAGTGTCCCTTTCATAGAGCATCTAGCTTCCTACTTTTATGAGAAAATTATAACTGAGAACTCCCTGTTCTCTACAGTTCTACACCTCAAATTCCTTCAACATCATCCATAGCCCTCTTTTCCTTCACTCTGAAGAAGTATCCTTTCTCCTTACCAAAGCCAACCTCTCTACTTGTGACCTTCATCCCATGTCCAGGATCTTACATTTTCAATCATCCCCCCATCACTTCCATCTTCCTCTCCATCCTTCGATTTGCCTCTCTCCCCCCTCCTCATCCTTCTATCTATCTATCCTTTGGATCATTCCATGCTTCCTAAGAATATGCCCAGATGTCCTCTTTCCTTAAAAGAAAAACCATTTGCTTGAATCTGACATCCCCTAAAGCTATCAAACTATATTCCCCCTCCATTTCACAGCCAAACTAGAAAAAGTCATTTGTACTTGTTTCCTCTAGTCCTCATTCCCCTTTCACTTCTCAACCTTTCATAATCTAGTTTCCAAACTTAACACCCAACTGAAATATTACCATCAATTTCTTAACTGGATATTCATGTTACTCAAGCTCAAGAAGCTCCAGTGACTCCCTCTTGCATCCTCTCTGTTTGGCATTTAAATCACTTCACAAGTTAGTTTCCATTTACCTTTCTAAGTATTGTTCATTATTCTCCTTGATATATCCTACATTCCTGCCAAATTGACCTACTTGCTGTTTCCCTCTTCATCTCCACCTCTTAGAATCTTTAGATCCCTTCAAGTCTCCTCATTTCTCATTTCCCACGTAGGGTTTCTTGGATTCCTCTTACTCTACCTCCCTTCTTACTTTATATTGATTTTATACTAATTTTATATCTATATGCACATTCTCTTCCCAGTAGAATGCAAGCTCTTTGAAAATGAGACTGCTTTGGTTTTGTATTTGTATCCCCATAACCTAGTACAATGCTTTGTATGTAGTAGACATTTTTAAAATTCTTCGCAATTAGATTGAGTGTAAAAAACATTTCTTGTCTGTTCAAACCATCCTTCAAAGAGGAAAACAAACAAATGTGATGAAGGGAAGAGGAATTATCCCTTTTGTTAGGAGGTAGAATGGTGGAAATTTTTGACAAAAGGAATGAAAAGAGGGACTAAGTTATAAGTAGTAAGGCATTTCTTATAGCAAGGGGAGCTGAACCATCTCTGGAGGAAGCAGCTTTTTGTTTTATTTTGTTTTAAAGAATATTGATGTGCCCTCAGGTGAAAATTACGCAGTAATAGAAGTATGTCTTTCTGTGGCATGTATCCAAGTGAGGCAGAGTTGCACAAAGTCCTCAGCCTCACTCTCTCTTCCTGAGTCATTGAAATCCAATGGCAAGACAAAAGTCAAGATGACTGGCAATGCCCTGGGATGCAGTAGATGACCTTGGTGTCTTCAATGTCTAACCAAGCTCTAAGTGCTCCATAGCTCCTATTTCAGCCACCTTTATGACTATTAGAACAAACTGTTCTCATCTGCCCATTCCACCAGAGGAAATCTTCACATGCCTGGGCTAGACATCCCCCTAACTCACCAATGAGTCTGAGGCTTGTCAGTTACCCTCAACCTGGTTTAGCCTGTTTGCCAAGACAATTTTACCATGGTGTGGCTGCTGAGCATGCTACAGTTTCTTGGAGCCACAGGTGAGAGTTGAGTGAAAGGTAGCCATCAATGGTAAATAAATAGCCCTCAAACCACGTATGCTAGTCCTCCCTGAACACCTCATATGCCTTTAAAGGTAGAATGTAAGGGGCAAAGGTGAGGGGGGAGTATGAAGATATAATAGAGGAAAAAACACAATTACTAATCATGTTCATGTATGTGAAAGGGATGAACATACCCATAAAGTG